TCTCTCATCACACCAAACCACAGAAAAGCCTTTGTTTTGTAGAAAAGGCAAATATTTAAAGACACAAGAAAATATCATATATACTTATCATTCAAATGATATAGATATTTAAGCAGAAAGATAAAATATAGTCTTTCACTTAATGCCTAATGCAAATATAGATATCATATATTTTACAATTTATATATTTTCTTGGAATTGATGACATACATGTATTTGCAATAACCAGACATGAAGCAAAGCATTTATCTTTCAGCTGGTATTTAGTTCTTGAACACAGTTGAAATGAAGCACATTATATTGAAATTACTTTGGAAGTTAGATATGTACTCAACTTTTGGTTCCTTATGCTCTCATCCATGACTGTCGCACTAAATGACCAAAATATCAATAATAAACTTTTTTGAAGACTGGAATTTTTTTTTCTTGCAGAAATATACAAAAATGCATGTAATTACTTTAGATTACTAGATACTTTGTATAGCAGAGCAACAAATTCACTTAATGGCCAGAGGCCTTTCTTTTGGGACTTACGACACAAATTGATGCTTTGACAAGATTTGTGGCAAAGTTATAGTGTTTGTGCTTTTTACAACCTTATCATAGAACTGACATCCATTCCATGATGTGAACCAAACATCAGTACAAACATTGATTTGTGGAGCTAATTTGCTACCTGAACACCAATTTCTCATAGCCTACATAATGATTGAAGATTTGTTTTTGTTCGTTTGTTTGATTAATTTAGCCAAGATACATATTTTATAAGGAAACTGTAGAAAACTATTTGAAGAAAACAAGGACCCCCCCCCCCATACAACAAAAAAAAGGATGACTAAACTCCAAACACAAAGTACTGAAGTCTCTATTCATCTCAAACATATTCACATCAAAAGACAACTCAGAAAGGAATAAAATTCAAACACAAATACAAACAATCAGACAAAAAAGGAACAACAAAGCAAAACAATCATCATGAGAATACAGTGCAAATAAAACAAAAAGAAAAGAAGAACACATACTGGCTACATACATGTAAGGGTTAGTATAAAAAAATAACAAAGAAAGGGAACTATTAGTTATCAACAACAGACAAACTGTGAGATAGATAAAAATAAAATAAATGTGATTATATATTAGTGAAATATTTGGATCACTGAGGTCAGAGAACGCTTGCCGTGCCATTCCTCTGATACTTATTTCTGAGGCGAGTTAGTGTGGATGAGGACTCGCTGCTGAGGGTTGAGTGCGTGTAGGTCAGAGGGCGGTTGGCAAAGCGTCGTTTAAGGGACGTGATGGGCCGCGTTTCATCTTCTCTCCATCTTCGCCAGTTATGATGTTCAATGGGGTCTTGAGGACCCCAGTCACCCCATTCTCGTGACGACTGCAGAGATGATGCCACTTTCTGTGTGATAAACAGACTAGACTCAATACACGCATTTGAATAATCAGACTGGGTAAGATGTTGTATAAAAAACATCATGTACTGCATGAATATCACTGTAACAGGCATTCACACACATACGTACATCTTTTACGCCATAAGCAAGTTGTGATTTTACAACATAAATAGCAGTGATAGGAACAGGTAACAGGACCAGCGCACGAAGTCCCCACACAACCGCAATCCGCCAAGCAGGTCCATCAATGACAGCAACATGTTGGCTGTCCATGACACATGACCATACAACAACACCCTGGAAATCAAGTGTGTACAGATTGTTAAACATCTTGACTTTATAGAGGAGGCATAATAACTAATTTCTTATATTTCTTCTCAAATATTAATCTTGTGAGTTATATTAGTAGGTGTAAAACACAAACAGTAATCATATAAAAATCTTTAAACTATTCCTCAAGCTTAAATTAGAACACTACCACATAAATTCAATTTCTTTTAGTCACTTGACAAATCTATTTAAAGATGTTTCTGTACCAGTATTGGGAGAACACTTGAAATTCATTTATTTTCAGTTCTGAGAGGGAGAGCTACATGGGGAACAAATCCATTTCCATATTTTTGAGGGACCATTGTTTTTATTTATATGAATATTAGTTTATTTGTTCCTGGGAATGAAACTCTTTAAACAGTGTTCAATTAACAGATGAGAGAAAAGCAGGGATAAAAACTCACCAGAAGTGTCAATGGGATGAATACACCCCATACAGGTGCCCAGAGCCAAGACACTGTTGCCTCAAGCATAAAGGTGAAGTCTTTGCGAACTTTGTGTATACCTAAAATATGAATTCATATGTTTTCTTTTTAAGTAATGATCTCAGAGTATTTATCTAATTTTCATTCACAAAATAGCTATACTTCATTATAAACTTAGAACTATGGGATCAGAGACTGATGCTTTTACCATGTTAAACAACAAAAAACACTCTAGCCACTCACCATACACAGCTGTGACTGCAAGTGTCAAAGTAAGAGGTGGCCACAACACAACCTTAGTCAGTACATCGACATCCAATAAGCTTACTATGGCAGATCCACTCT